CCCCCCCCCCCCCCCCCCTCTTCCCCCCAAAAAAAAGAGGAAAAAAAACCAAAAACTTATTTAAAAACAATTTGTACGTAGACAGAGATTGTAGATTTAAAAAGAGATAACGGAATAACTTTATTCCATTTGTTTAAATGTAAAAATATTTGAAAATGTATTTAATTCTCTTACTTTCAACTCTCTTGGTATTGGTTTACATTTTATGTAATATAAATTAAAATCATTTGAAAACAATGAAAGAAATTTGTTAATGACAAAAAAAAAATATAAAAAAAATAAAAAATAAAAATAAATAAAAATAAAAAGTTCAAGATTCAATAAATAGAAATGAAATAAAATAAATTGTTATATATTTATATTCTTAAATGCGAATAATAGAAAAAAAGTTTAGATTCGTAGGAGCATTAAAACAAAATAAAATTGATCATGTTTGAATGAGTTTGAGAGTTAGGGAAAATCGTTTGGCCGTTAACACCGGGCAATTTCAAGCACTTGACACTTGACTTGGGTATCGTGAAACAATTTTAAGAGCTTTTATCCGAATCGAGCTTGAAAGCTCGTAACAGATGTAAGCCTTAGATGCAAGCATGAACATTACGTAGCCGCTAATTCACGGCCAATGGGCCGCTACTCCAGTCAAGGAGATTTTGTTATCAACTTTTCAGGAGATTTATTTTAGCCAACGCTGCCAAGTGTAGCTTGGGGTTTTATATGCAGACCAATAAAAGAGTCTTCTAATTTTTGTTTAATTTTTTTTTTCCCAATGCTTTTCTTGCGTTCTGCAGGTGAATCACGCTTGACTTTATTTTTGATATTGGCAAGAAGCTATAGTTCTCTACCGCTATTCTTTTTCTTTTTGTTTTTTTGACGATGAGCGAGGAGCGGATTGTTGAACGGACGGACGAGCAGACGAATATGCCAAACTTAGCTTAAAGCTTTACGCTGATCGGATGCAAGGCGCAGTTATATATATTAAAAGAGAAGGACAAGATTAGCGTGCCCTTATTTTTTGTAAGTGTTTTATATCTCGAAACTGTTGTGATTGTATACCAACAGGACCAGAGATATATCCATTGATATTTGGAACTTATGGAATAGATTTATAAAATAATTTTTCATTGTTAATACATTTTTGTTTGCTATTTTGTTTCATTTTAGGTTAACGTTGCGTAAACGCAATCACTTAAACTTCAAAACAATGAATCATCATCTTTAAAAAAAAAAAAAAAAAAAAAAAAAATAGTAGAAACACAAAGAAAGAGCTATAAGGCTGACGACACTTTGTATTCATGCTCGATATTAGGGAAATATGGACATATACATTGCCAAGTATATATGATTGTATCCTATACTACGAGTAACACTGACTAAGCCAAGTTTCCCTCTTCATCGTTTCTTCATTGTTGAAGTTATCAAAATTGTGGGAAAAATTTGAAAATGGATAGAGATTCCTTAAGATTAAATTTAGAGATCAAGCTTACCAATGAGTTTAATCTGTTCACAAAATTATATCTATAATTATATTAAATTGAAAAAATTAACGTCTAAGTATGAAAAGATTTTCATAGTACTAGCGTTACTGTCAGGCTCATCGAAAAATTCGATGTGAAAATAATTAACCGTTAAGATGCTGACTCCTGTTACGATTTTGATATAATTAGTTGACATGATGGATATCCAAGATCTATCGTAGATCGGTTATAATTGTGCGTTTAATTCAACTAAGTTGATAATAAAGAAAAAAAATCGTTGGCAGAAGACATAATGCAATTAACTGGTTAGAATACTATATATATATATAGAATACTATATATATATATATATATATATAAGCAATTTTGTTTAATCTGGATTTATTATCATTTATACATAGTTTTATATACATTTTCGTAAATTTTCTTTTTATTTAATCAAATTTATTTTAACCAGCATCACAACAGAAATTCTATAAACTGGATATAGTTGTAATCAATTTTATATTTGAACTTATTTCGTATCTTGCATCTGCACTCAATGTATTATATAAATAAAATGAAAAAAGTTTAAAAAGAAAAAATTGATTTAGTGAAAAATTCTTACGTATAAAATTACTTCTCTCTCGAAGAAAATATTAGAAAACTTAATAATTCTTAAAGTACATACACATATATATATATATATATATATATATAAATATATGTCTACAATAGACTCAAGTTAACAAAAGTGAAATCATGTCAATGCAAGCGTCGGAAAGATAGTCGCAGAAAGAGATAGAGAAGGAGAGAGAGAGAGAGAGAGAGAGAGAGAGAGAGAGAGAGAGAGAGAAAGAGAGAGTGAGAGAAAGGAGAGGAGGAATGTGTGATAAGTGAAGAAATACTTTTGGTATTTTATCATTTACAAAAATGTTATATGTCACCAGGGTGACAAAGGTTAAGAAATATTGATTATACAAAAACTTGATATTGCAAGGCAGGGAAGGAATTCCAACGAATAATGTACAAGAAAAACCAGAAGGACAAAAAAAAAAAAAACAAGAGGAAGAAAAATAAGAAGAAGAAACTGAAGAAGAACAAGACGAAGAAGAAGAAAGAGAAGAAGAGAAATATATAATAATATTTTAAATAAATTTCTATATCAAAGTCTTTATCAAACAGAGAACTATAATAAAAGAAAACCAAAATATGCAGTCTGGAGTATTTCTATTATGGTACATATATATATATATATATATATATATATATATATATATGAATATATCTGTATGCTTGTAATGCGCTTCATAAATAACACCACAAAATTATTATTACTATATATGGGTTGGTGTGAGTGTATTTGCACGTCTGCAGTAAGGATAATGATGAAAATTTCTATTTTACGCTTGAACTCAAATGCTTGACACTTTTGTTAGACTGGCATAAGCAAATAATTGTGTCCTTGACAACAAACATCAGCAGCAGCAGCAGCAGGAGCACGAGAACAAGCACCAGCAGCAGTATTAAATGAGAACTAACATCAACATAGAACGATAGAAACTGAAAATCTACCTGGATGTATAATAAGTAACCAGGTGCCCGTTACAGGATAGCAACCTGATGTTTGATTGACTTATTATTAGCAACAGACCAACCGTATAATATTTGCCCATTACCACTACTATCGTCATCATCATTATCATCATTATCATCATTATCATCATTCTAGTATTCGCATAGGAATAATCGAAAGGTTAAAACAAACTGTACAAAAAGCGAGATTTGCTTCTTTTCATATACATATATATATACATATATAATATTAAGCAAAAGCCAATTAAATAAACGCTTTCCCTGTTACCAGGGCGTTAAAAAAAAGGAAAGCGTGTCTGTGCACTCGACGCCATATTTTCCTTTTCCTTGTAATAATGAATATTTTGTGCTCGGTTAGCCAATGTATTGAAAATTCTTAAAATCCCATTTGATGATATGAATTTAACAAACTCCATATTTATGTGTGCGCGTTAAATGCACACTTTTGATAATAAATCTATAAAAGTTAAAAAGAGGCGTTTACTCTATTGAAAAGAAACTTTTTTATGGTCTTATGCGGCTTGGTATGCTTAGCCCAATTTAAGACATCATATATATTTTTATGGGTTCTGTTGGAAACTTAAAAAGATGGAATTCATCGTTTTACATGTCGCATCCAGAGGTAACCGAAATATCAGCAACATTTTCTAGATATATTCCGCCAGAAATATCCGCCAGAAATATGCATCAGAACCGCATAAAGTATTCTTGATCGTTTGTTTTTTCAACCATTTGTCCCCTCTTCTGTTCCTTCATTAATTCATATGTGGCTTTATCTGTATGTCTTGCTTTCGCTCGTCCTTCCCACGTATTATTTCATTCTTCTGTCCATTCATTTTCGAGGCTCTTCACATGTCTTTACCTTCATTTTTCGGTCCCTTCAACTATATAACCGTGTCTTCGTTCATTCATATGTACTTTATCCGTCCGTTCCTTGATCGTATGTACTTTGTTCGTCCGTCGCTTAATCGTATGTCCTTTCACAGTGTGCCGCTTCATCCACTTATTTGCCGTTATTTTGCCCACGTAGTTGTTAGGCTGTTCACGCATCTCCCCATTAATTCGTAATTCTCGTCATTCATGTGTCCTTTCAGTATATTTCCATCCCTCCATTCAGATATTTTTTCATTCGTCTCATCATTCATCAGCTGTCAAGCTGTGATGTATTTAAACTCTTCGTATGACAACTCTGTTCTTCAAAAGGTTAAAAAAATTCGGTTTCTGCTCATTGGCCACAAGTGGCCAAAAATTTGAACGCATATTCCATGGAGGATGCTCGCAGTGCCTATAAATTGACCACGCCTAACCAATATAATAATGTATTAAGATTTAATTTTTTTTCAATGCCTTTCTTTATAACGCGCAGAAACACGTTACAAAAACCCCATAAATTATACAAATCCTTGGCCAGTTTCAAATCTGAAATACATGTAAACATGTCCGTCTGTACGTGCGTCCATGTGTGCGTTTATCTTTGATAAACAATCCCCGAAAAATTAGCGAACATAAAGTGACCCAATCTTTACAAAGAGCACGCCTACAACGCCCATACGCCTATGCGAGAAAAGCATTTATTTTGAAAAAAGAAAATATCAGCCGCACCCACTCCATGTGAGTTAGAGCGTGAAAATGTCATTTTTAGATAACCAGTGACGGGTATAAAAGAGTCTGTCACTACTGAATATAATTTTCTTACTTGTTTTTTATTTGACAAATACTTAACATTATGTGGAGGTTAATCTAACACCTTTTAGAAAATGTCATGTCATCTTTAATTTAATTTTGTATTGTAATTGAAATATCA